GCTCTGCAGACAGCCTGCAACACTGAAGGCAAGCAGCCTGGGAGTGGTGGGGGGCAGGGCCCACATCCCAGCATGTTTGGCAGGATCCCCCTTCTGCCTGAAAACAAGTGACAGCAACCCAGGGCACGAGGGGACCATACCACCACCCCAAAACACCCTGTCCCCCCCTTCCCAGCTGTCAAGCAACCAAACAGCAAGACCCAGAGCAGGTCTTCTGCGTCTGGTGTCTGGTCTCACTGGGGAGATGTGTCCACAGGTGGCAAGGGGCTTTGGCTACAGTGCAACTCTGGCTGTGGCGGTGGGGAGGGGTTCCCCATGGGCAGCTGGGGCCCGACACAGGCAGGTGGCTTCCCCTGCCAGCTCAGGGTAGAGGCTGAACATCTTCACAGCCCCAAGGTAGTAGAGGGGCCGGGCTTTCCCAGCTGTTCAGATGTCAGGGGGAGGTGTCTACTGTGACTCAGGCTGCAGCAGTAGACTTCAACCCAAGTCACACCTGGGTCCAGAGCAATAGCAGGACATGCTGGGATACTGGAGGTGACTGCAGCAGGTCTAATCAATTGGGGTGCTATGCAAACATTCGTTCAAATGCTTGCACCCAAATTGAGTAACTCTTCGACCATGATTGATGCGGTAGAGGTTTCCACCACATCAGCCAGTTGAGGTGAAGGGAACACTTACACACAGAGCATTTCAACTAGTGGAGCAGTGATTCCACTGGTTGAAATGAAGAGTTTGTATGTACCCTTAAAGAGATGGTCAAGTCTGACAACTCTTATAAAGTCTGTCATATCAGCCTAGGATTATTAAACTGAAGAGAGAGAGAACAGTGGGAGCTTCTGAAGGATGAGAGTCAGGCTCCTGTGCATCTGGATCCTGCCATATGGCTGGGGAACCTCTGTGAACCACAGTACGATTCTTATCTTTTTCCTGATGCACGTCTGCTTCTCATTTTATTTGCAGAATCAACTCCTCTGTTGCAATATAGGCACTGACTTCAGTCCAGCAACAGGGATTAACATCAGCTCAAGATCTCAAGAGCAAGGATTGATCATTTTAAACTGCACAGTAGGTCCACAGAAATGTTTTTGACAAGTGACTGGTCAGTGTCAGATATAAAAGGAAACATGGAAAAAATAATTATTTTTAACAGGAAGAATGTGTGGGCTAAGGTGGGGAGGGAGAGAATTTTATGTGATACATTTATCTAAGAGAAATAATTATTTAGGGTCCTCCAATTTTTCCTCGTTTTCATTTTATGCTTTCCCTTAACCCACTTAACAAGGATGCTTAGGCAGTGTTTGTTTGCTGGGTTCTCTTTCAGCTAAGCTTGTGTTTACTGAAAGAGAGTTTCTCTTTGCATGAAGTACTTTGCCTGTTGTTAAGGGATTTTCTTACCTTCAGTGCCCTATGCATTTCTTTTTTTTTCCCTAGGGATGTTTGATCTCCTTATCTCCAGTTTTACCTGGTTTGTTTATTGAATTTTTAGACTGCTTACTCAAGTTTAAGGATCCTCTGTTTATGACTCTATTTATGTGTTTGTCTTCAGGATGGCAGGATTGCTGTGCTGTTATAAGTTTCTGGGAGAGGAGGATATTGGTCAGAGGTTAATGGTTACACTTGCAAAAGAGAAACATTTCTTAAGAGAATATGTTTACCTTCCAGCTCATTGCTCAAAGTGGCAGGTGAGAAGGCCTTTTGATCACAGGTAGGAATATTCATTCAAAGAGTATGGGAATCTCAATCCAGATCTCAAACCGACCAAAGTCTTTCAGGCTCAGAAACCTTTAGTAATTGTATTTTATGTTATTCAAGATAAACAAAGAGAAACAGTTACTTGGGAATCAGGGAACATTGAAAATGATACAATTAAAAAAAACTGTACTCTATGTTATTCAGTACAGGTAAATGCTTAGTTTTGTCTTTTCTTCATAGCTTAACTGACTCTATTCATAAACTTCGTTTCCATGTTGGCTATGTATCAGAAGGAGGTGATTTTCCTATTTCTGTTTAAAAAAAGAGGTCAAGCTACAAGAGAGCCATTGTGGCGGACAGCTGCTCTTCAGAGTGGGCAAAATTTAGCCATGAAATAGGATACGGGAAGGGAAGGGAAACCTCCTTTTTGCCTAATTTTGTGATTGCCACAGAGAAGGGAATCCAAAATGGTGGCTCAGATGCAACATCTGGGAGACCATAAAATGCATTGTTTTAGGCTATGGATTCATCGTGCTCTTAAGGTGAGAACGTTGTGTACCAATAAGGTAAGATGGATGGGATTCTGCTCTTGACACTGGTTATTTTAAGGCACAGATATAGGCCTTGGGCATGGAATAAAATACCAGAATCCCAGGAGTCTTGCAAGCCTATCTAAAGCTCCCATTACCTTAGTGACTGAGCACCTCGCAATATGCCTCTGAGGTGAGGAAGTGCATTATCTCTACTTACAGAAGGGAAGCAACAGCAGAGGAAAGTTAAGTGAGCTCTCTTTACCCAGTATCACAGAGGGAAGTCTGTAATATTGTACAGATAAGAACCCAGATCTGTACAAGGCCCTAGGTTAGCAGCTTAGCCACTGGCTCATGCATCTTCTGTGCTTATTGCATCCTTTTATAAAGTGTCAGTTGAAAATTTAAGGTCAAATACTGGTCTCAATTAAGCCCAAGTAAATCTGAAGTAATACAACTGACCTTATGTGAGTTGCTATGGACATAGCAGAGCAGAATCTGGCTTTTAGTATGTTAAAAATAACAGAAAGCTAAGCTTCATATTTCTTACTCTGTTGCATACTTATTAAAAAAGGGAGTGCACCAGTGTAACAAGAAACTGCTATTTCCAAATTGCTGAGTTTTATCTTTTCCACATATTTGCCAGAATGTTAGTAGCCACTTGATTTAAATTTCAAAGGGCTACATTTCTTTATTGGTCCCCACATCTTGCTGAATAAAAGCTCCACTAGGTGCATACTTCTTGTATTAGCCATATACTCATAAATATGGAATTGGCTTTATAACAAGAAAAAGACTTTCCCTCAGAGAAGACACTGGCATATCAAGTCAGAAGAAAGGGGATTATTACATTGATTCAGATACAGGGAGTTAGTCTGTGTTTTCAGCCATAGCCCCATGCCTTTTACTTCTGGAGCAAGTTAGTAGGGTGTTGGCCGAGGAAGGAACATAGGGAAAGAGCCAATCAGATATTTTTTAGCCATTTTTTAAAGAAACATGCCTTTGTCTATCAAACCTGAAACATTTGAAAAATGTAGTTATTTTGATGAAACTGCATTTGGGGAGGAGAGGGGAAAAAAACCGTAACTGAAGTATTTCAAAAGGTCGAAAATATCCCATTTTGGCATTTTTGTATTTGAGCATTTTGATTTTTTTGTTCTGAACCAACTTTTCAAAATGAAACTATTCTATGTCAAACTACTTTCAGAATTTTAAAAATATTTTAGCCAGAACAGAATATTTTCATCTTGTCAAAACAAACCCCCCCTTTTTTTTACCTAAATTAATTTTGGAGGGATTTTTTTTCATGGGAAATTTTAAGGTGTTTCATTTTCATTGAAAATTAAAAAAAAAAAAAAAATTAAAACCATGAACTTCCTTATGAAGCAAAAAATTGAATTCCCATCTAGTTCTATATAGGAATTCCCAAACTGGACAAAACCCAATATCCATCTAATTCATTGCTTCCAACAACAGCTAATACCAGATGCTTCAGAGGAAAGTATTGTTCTAGTTGTAAGTTGATTGTGCAGACAAGCTTACCTCACTTTTTATGGATCAGGCTTAGGAAAGACATCTTTTTCCCAGAATATACACTGATAACAACAGTTTAAGGCCATACTGGTACAATAGCCTTCAAATCAAATAACCAAGAAAGGGGCCCAAAGGGTTAAATGCACTAAAAACATTAGTAAAACTTCACATAAAATAAAATCTGATTTGGTATTTTTATTGCATGCTCAAAAATATTTAAAAAGCGCAAAAGTCAGGATGATGGGGTCCCAATTTTACATTGACCCTGACCATAATTTGAGGGTGATTTTTATGGTTTCAGGGTCAAATCATAATCAGAACAACATGTTGGTTCCTTATAATTAGATATTCTCTTTAGGATATGAGGCAGGGAGGTTAATATAGTTTCCAAGATTCATGTTGGCATTAACTGTTGTAACACCAGTTATTATTGCTATCTTTGTGAATCTTCATTCTCTTTTTTAACATTATTCAGTTTTTTGGCTTCAATGAAATCTTGCTGCAGTGAGTTCCACAGACTAATTCCATATTGTGCAAAAAAATATTTCCTTCTATCAATTTTGAATTGCCACCTTTTAACCGGATATCACATTTTTTTTTGTATTCAGAAATGACAGTGACGTTAAGGATAGGAAATGGCTGGAAGTAAGTTACTACAAATGACTACATATCCGAACCTCCAAACAGAAGCAGTGAGGAAATTGTGCCATACGGAGCTGAGAGTTTGCTTTGGTTGCTGAATTCAAGCACTCTTTAAAGAAGTTTGGTTCTTAAAGACAGGTGCTCTGTACTTTCTGAAAATCAGGCCACTTAAAATGAATCCAGGCAGCCAGCCGAAAACCCAAGCTCACTATTTGCTTTTGATGGTTTGAAATCAACTCTTACTCAGGCTAATGCCTGAAGGCAAAACCAAGGCCTAGATTTGATATATCAAGATCAGGAACTCACATGCCTCTTCTCCATGTAAACAATGACACACTATTGAAAATAGTGCAAATGGTTGGACTAGACAGACAGACAGACAAGTAGCATGGAACAAACACTGGTGCCACAGACATCAGTACGTTGTCACCTAAGGGTGTGAGCGACTTAAGTCAATCTTTATGCAAAGAGACAGTACTATAGAATTTACCAATGAGGCAAAAATGGCCGTGCAACTAAGCAGCAGAAACACCACCTCTCATTCAGAACAAATAAGGCATGACTTAACTCAAAAATCAAAGAAGGATAGGGCTGTTTTTTTACCTTGAAATAAGTGTTAATTCAATTAATTTTTCCCTTCACTTTGGCCCGGATCTTGACCTGTGTCTTGCTCTCCCACCTACTATTCCTATTTATACTTGGCCTTGATAAAAAACAGACCTATCCTTAAGCACAATGTACAAACTAATCATTTATACTAGGAGAGCTAAGTGGATGGTACAGAACCCTTTTGAACCTATGTTACATTTTAACTACTTTAACCACATCCAGCTGTGCAAAGTTCAATCATTCACTGCTGAACGTAAGTCTAGTGTGAGATCATTTGTAGGCATGTTGCACGATTCAAGAAAAAAGGGAAAATTATCAATGTGTGAGGCATAGGTGCCTGAGTACGTGGAGGCCTGAGGGCCCTGGCCCCTCACAGGAAGAGGGCTGTCAGGGCCCAAACCTGAGAAAAACAATGTAATATTTCTTAGGAATGATGACTGAGGCCACCAATCTGGGTTCTCTGTTCACTGCAGAAAAGTGCAGATTTTCTCCTTTGACGGAGAAAAAACTGGGAAACTGCCAGCCTGCAAGGGGAAGCCAGCGGAGTCCCAGACTGCAAGGGCTGGGGGGAGCAGGGAGGGCGATCAGAGGCAGGGGGCACCACGTACATGTGCACACATACATGCATGTGGCAGCCAACCAGCAGTGGAAAGCAGCTCCCTTCAGGTAAGTCTATGGGGAGAGGGGGCACAGACAATGCGGTGGGGGGGCACAATCAACATGGCAGAGAGGGGCAGGGGGGGTCAAAGCGATGCAGCAGGGGGGGCATATGCCCTCTGAGATTTCTGCCCCCACAGTGGGGCTCAAGGCACGGGGCTGCAGCTGGGCCAGCTCAGCTCCAAGAAGGAGCCACCTCCACAGCCCAGCAGGTGGGACCCAGAGTGTGCGGGAGCATTGTGCAACCATGGGCCAGGTGAGGTGTAGCAGTGGTGGCAGCGGCAGCAGCGCAGAGTTGTGCCTCCGCTGCTGCCAGGCAGGCAGGGGCACCTCACCTTGGCAGCCATGGCAGCGTAGCACTCCTTTCCACACCAAGTCCTGCCTGCTGGGCTGTGGAGACAGCTTCTGCCCAGAGCTGGTCCAGCCCAGCTTCAGCTCCATGTCCTGTTGTGGGAGCAAAAATCTTGGGGGGGCCCATGCTTCCTCATCCCAGTGGCCCTCTCCTGCCACCCCTATGCATTGCATGTGCCCATACCCACCCTTTCCCACACACCCACCCTGTTCCCCACACACTGGGGGGCTGGGGGAAGAGGACACATGGCCATCATCTTTGGCTTCCCCACCCCTCAACAAAAATAAAAGTCGGCACCTATGGTGTGAGAAAGACAGCTGAAATAGTTGATCAAATATTTATAATTTCTCAGAAAAATTGCCTTCCTACCTTCATGTCACCAGTTTTTAGGTGCAGACATATCAGTAGCTCTGGAAAATAAGACCTAAACTTTCAAACATAACTTCTAATTTGGGGTACCTCAGTTCCTGGGTGCCTAAATGAAAAGACTTTAAAGAGGCCTGATTTGTAGAAAATGTTGAGCACCTGCCCTCTGATAATCAAGATCATCTAAGGCATCTCAAATTGGGTACCCAAAAGTGAAAGCATTCAAAATCACTATCTATTGATGAATCATTCTAAGTAGTCTGAACATTTAGGCCATGTATATAACACTCTATTCAGGGTAATTTGATGTATTTTTTTTTTGTTGAGGACTGAATCTGGAGATCTATACAGTAGTAGGAAAGGACATTTTTCATGAGAATTTTTAAAAAATCTCCAGATGTTTATTTCTGAAAACTAACATATAAAAATAGTTATCAATGCTTAGATGGAATTTTCACAAAAAGTCTAGGTTTTCATTAAAAACAAAACACAGAAAATGTAAATCAAAGTGAATTTAAACGCATTTTTTTTCATTTTAATCAGAAAGCCTTTTTTCACCCAAAATCATCTGGAGAAAAGATTTTGACCGACTTTAGTAGAAGTCTGATCCTGCAACATGTGAGCAAGGTGCCCTTGTGCAAGTAGTTGAAGGACTGGTGTCTAAGGAGACTAGAGCTGTTATATGATACACGTTTTTACATTTGGGATTAAGAGAATATCAATTATAGGGCAAGTAAGGGTGCAGTTACATATTACACTTAGACAATACTAAGTGGTGTTAAACTGTGTTGTAAGCAGTCCCATATTAAGGCTTAATAACATTTACTGTCTACACAGCTCAGACTTGCCACTAAAGGGCTGATGAGCAGAGGTGTGGCTAGGAGCCAGGACACCTCTGCAGTATCCCTGCTTGGTGTGGTGGGGGGAGGGGGGCAGGGATGCAGTAGGGAGGGAAGGGGAGGAAAGCGGAAGCTGGGAGCAGTTTTATCCTGGGATGCTGGAGGACTGCAGATTGCTCATTATATCTCTGGTGCAGACTGAAGTTATCCGAAAACAAGCTAGACAGCACGGCCCAGAGTTAACCCTTGCCTGAAGTGGCATAACATTGAGACACTCAGAGGTAAAATGAGTTGAGTAAATGTGAATGTGTGGACATTCACATTTTAAGTGCCCTTAGTACCATCTAAGTGTCATGTGTAGCTTCACTCTATAGCACCGCTAAAATGAAGTTAATAAACATGCTTTGTCACATAGGCTATTTTCTATCTTGAATCTTCACTGTGGTCCTGCCAATGGAATTCTACATGGATGGGTTTTTCTACATGGATGGGTCATTCTGTTGAACCAGTACAATGGTTAAGATGACAGTCACAGCACTGTTTTACTGAAGACACAACTCAAAGAAAGCAATGAGTTCTCAAAAGGTCTGCATGCAAAAAGATGCCCAGGCACTGGTGGACAGCTCTAAGGGTTTGGGCACTGATTTTTGTGTCAAAATTATAGCTGTTCAAAAAAATAATTTTTTGGTTTGCTTGCAGTATTGAAAAATCAAAAACATGAAACACTCTGGGAAAGAGTTCTTTTTTAAAATAAAATTGACGGTTATGTTAAAAAGAAGCATGTTTCATTTTTTACAGAATATTTTGTTTTGCTTTGTTTTGTTTTGTTGCAGGGACAATGAAGAGAATTTGGCACAAATTTGTGGAATGCTTCAACTGACCCAAATCAGCATTTTTTGGTGAAAGAAAAATGTTGGCCAAAAATTTTGCCCGTCTCTAGCCAGGATGTGATTTTACCCAATATATATTTTTTTCTTTTTTACTTTATGAAAATGACAGAATTACATCTGAGTCTAGGACTAATAGGGTGGATCTTTAATTAATGATCCCAGAGAATGAAAAGGGTTTTTGCATGACTCACATGAGCTCTCTGACTTAAGCTGTGTGAATAAAATAATTCTGGTAATTAAAGGTGGAAAAGACCTGTTAGGTTATTCAGTTCCCTTGCCAGGGAAGAATATGGTTTTTAGAGTTTTTTAGAGAAGGCTTGAATTGTATAGGCCTGGTGTCTGCTGTGGGTATGAAATCTGCATACAGAAGAGTGGCAAGCATCTGATCAGACAGACATGCCCACGAGTTGGGAGATGAGAATCCTCAACAGCAGGGAGAAGTATTCCGGTGATGTAATGCCCTCAGGGCACAAGGAAGTCAGAGGCTGATGGTCACATACATTAAAAGGAGTGAACTTGTGGCATTGAGTCAGGCAGGGGTTGAGACCTCCATTACTCTTCTGCGGCCTTCTGCTGAGGAAAGTCAGTTCAAAGAAGACACAAACGCTGAAGAAAGGAAAATCTGTGTGCACTCCCTCTGAGTCACATCAGTTGGGTAGTAAAGGCATCAGCTTCTCAAAAACAGAGGCTGGATAAGTTTTCTAGGCAAAAATATTAAGGAGATCCTTCATGTCACATTCTGCCATAAGCAGGGTGTGAATTAAGGGGGAGCCTGAGCCCCGCCATAAGAAATGAAAGCACCCCTGTAAGATTTGAAAATCATAATCTGGTGGGTCTCTAAGCAAAGTGCTCCTTCACTTAGGTGGACTCGTTGATCAATGAACCAGTTTGTTTGTTTTTTTTTGCAGACCCCCCTAAGAATTAAAGTATAATTTGAACCCTGTCCATAAGATATGTACATACATCCCAAAACCTTCAACTGACATGAATAATCTCTCCAGGATAACTATGCTAAGGTATTGGGGCAAACTCTTACCCCTCCTGGGGTAGGACTGTCCAGCAGGCAAACTGCTAAACAAAAGGGGCCTGCATGTATTCAAAAAAGGGTCCCAAACTAGGGGGAGTCAGGGTAGAGGGCACACCAAATTATGCTCCGCTGGGACTCGGGGTGCAAAAGGAGATCTGACACTTCATACATTGTCTTCTGTTCACTATCTCGGGGAAGTACACTGGTGAAACAGCATGCTACTTCCACTGTTGAATTATAGCCCCCAACAGTGCAGCCTCAAAGCTGTTCAGCATCTAGGGTGGTAGAGTGGAAAGGACAAGGTTCCTGCTACTTGGCTGAATGGCTAAGCGGAGGATTTTTTCCAAGATACGTCATCTTTCCCTATTACCACTTCTGTATACCGTTGGCCTTATACAGAGTGTGGGTAAAGGCTGTAATTATTTCTCCTTGACTACAACATGTTTGAAGAGGTGTACTCTCAGAGGCACATTACCTAAGAGAAACCTAGTCTAGTGACTATTTGCTACGCAAATGAATTAACATTGGATATATCACAGTGCACTGAGAGGGGAGCCTGATTTTGTGCTCCTTACACTGTGGAGCACATACTGCCCACATGGTGCCATGAGAAAATTCTTCTCCAAATAATGAACTTCACCAGTGAAAGGTGGTAGAAGAAGATTGTTATAATGTACAGTACAAGGTCTCCAGCCTAAATGAGAACCATAATAACCACCTAGTGAACTTAAATATAAGGAGAAATGTGCCTGTAAACACTTTCATTGTTAAACATTTTGAGGTTAAAGGCCAGATCCTCAGCTGATATAAACTGATGTAGCCCCAATGATTCCCTAGGGGTCCAATAGGAAAGCACATATTTCATATTCTAAATAATCATGCTTCCATTTAGGGGAATTTCTTTTTGACATCAACTGGAGCCTTAAGTCAATGCAAAATTGTAGGAGGCTGCTCTAGAGGACATATGGTGTTGATTATCATAATAATGAAATGGGGCAGTAGTCTAAATCTT